TTAATATTAAACACATTTTCTTACTTTTGATGTTAATTATAATGGAGTTCATGGTGGTATCACTTGTAACTATATGAGGGATACTAGTATTAATGAAGAAGGAACAAGTATACAGTCCAGCATCAGATAGTCTTGCATTACTAATAGTGTAGGTAAGAGTGTGTCCATTATTATCATTGATAATGGTACTGAAGTTAAGAGTGTGATTAGATGAATTGAACCATTGTAGAGTCAAATTAGTATTGACATCAATGTAGGAAGAGTATGGATAAGTGACAGAACATGAGAGGGTAATGTCACTGCCAGCATCATACACAGACTGATGAGGAATGAGAGTAATTACTGGGATCTTGTTGTTTGGAACTGAGAAAATGAAAGTAATATTATAGCAAGGGATGCAAATAACTTACTTTGAATTGAAACATTAGTTGAAGCTGTCATGTCATCACTGGGTAGGACAAATGAATGATTAGTACTTGATATATTGTACTGACAAGTATATTGTCCAGCATCAGATAATGACACATTATTGATAGTGTAGCTGATAGTGTGTTCAGTATTATTATTGATACCGGTATATGAGTGTAGAGTGTGATTAGAGGAATTGAGCCATTGCATGTTCACTTTAATGTCAATATCAAGTAAAAAATAGTTAAGAATAGGAATAGAGCATGCAAGGTTTACGTTGTGACCAACATTGTAATTAGAATTTAATGGAGTAATTGATGGATCATTACTTTTTGGAACTAGAAAAAAATCAATTGAAAATAATAACCCAAACATAAAACTCACTTTTAATTGTTACATTAGTGACTCCTGTCCTGAAATCACTTGGTATAATATAATGATCATTAGTGGTACTAGTGAGATAATATGTACAACTGTATTCTCCAGCATCAGATAGCTTTATGTTAGTGAGAGTATAATTGAAGTATTTATTGTACAAGTGATTAGAATATTGTGGAAAATTTTTATTAGGGCTCCATTTAATATTAACAGCAGTATCAACATTAACCAGTGGTGAGTTAGGCTCAGTAACTTTACAAGAGAGAGTGACTTTAGTACCAGCTTCATAATAGGGTTCTGTAGGCTTTAGCACAAGTGATGTACTGTTGATTGGAACTAAAGTAACAAATAAGTATTAGTTATCTCACCATGAATTACTTACTAATAGTAGTAATGTTAATGTATTTGTATTGACTCTCACTACTTTGAATAAATTTATATTCTTGTTGAGTGTGATGAGTATTACTACACTTGTATTGCCCAGCATTTGATAAGCTAAAACTAGTTAGATGATACTGGAAATTATGTTCAGTATACTCTTCTATATCTACAGTAATACTCTTAAAGATATCATCTTCATTATTTATCCAACTAATGTTGACAACGGTGTCGATATCAATGTATGATGGTTTGTGGTAACTAATTGAGCAGTTAAGAGTAATATCACTGCCAACTTTATATGGTGAATTGAGA